ATGTTTCCATTGATACGTATTCAGGCTACATTATGGCATCCCCCCAAAGGGGTGAAGCCACCAAACATGTTATTAATTATTGTATTCGGACCTTTGCATCGCTGGGATGCCCAAAAGAATTAAAAACAGACAATGGCCCCGCTTACACAAGTGCAGCCTTTGCTGCCTTTTGTAACCAATGGGGCATTGTGCATAAATTAGGCATTCCTTATAACAGCCAGGGTCAGGCTATGGTTGAGCGCACCAATCAGACTCTTAAGCATGCCCTTGATCGCTACATTGAAACAAAGGGGAAAGGACCCCCTAGCCTCCCGGCTTTGCAAAACATTCTTAATCTTTGTTTATATACATTAAACTTTTTAAATCTCACCGGTCAGCCACCTTCCTCAGCAGCAACTCGTCATTTTGCAGCTCCACCTTCTGCGGACACTCCCCGACCACCTGTTTACTATCGCTGCTTGCCTGACCTGACGTGGCGAGGACCTGCCGACCTGATTACCTGGGGAAGAGGCTACGCCGCAATCCAACTAAAAGACGAAGTACTTTGGGGTCCCAGGAAGACACCTAAGACCTTTTCTTCCAAAATCACCACCACACACATCCAGGGATGCCGATCGTCCGTCAGCCCCCGAATGAGGAAGAGCTTGTGGAGGTTGTTTCCTGGCCTGACCAGGAAAACAGGCCTGGACACCCTCCACCGTATGAGACTGCGGAGGCTGTTTCCTGCCTTGACCAGGAAAACGGGGTAGGACACCCTTCACCATATTCGCCACCAGAAGGATGTCCCTTATTTCGAAGAAAGCCTCCAGGTTATCCCCTGTCGCTGTGGCAGGAGTTCATGAAACCCATAAGTTGTAGAACTTTCTCATATCATTGTGGTATTTTTTCATTGTGTGGCATAATTCGAGTATTGATTATATTTTTAGGACACTGTGCAGCTTCCCCCATAGAGGACGATCCGCACATTTTGCTAAGCACTAGGAGAACTGAGCAACATGAAAACATACCATTGACACTTACATGTACAGACACACGGGGCGTTGCATTTTTACCATATTCGAATTGGTTGAAAGACGGAGAAATTATTGCCACTACACCCGACCGTTATCTTGTTAAAAAGACATTCTCTCCTCGTCAGCTCATTTTGGTCATTTTAAAACCCTCCAATTCAACAATAGGGTCGTATTTTTGTGACATGACTACCAGATCGGGACGGTGGTCCTCAAGAGGGGTTTTTGTCCACCCCCCAGGATGGGTACCATGGGGGGTCATTGCACGGCCACCCTCCCCTCGTGCTTCTTACAAGATATAGGAACCATTACATGTACCTACTGGGTGTCTCAGACATAGAATGAAAAGGTTAGCTCCTTCTCATGGTTTGCACACTCGGATGGCATACAACCTGTGAATGCGTTTGGCAGAACAGGCAAACGTATCAAACTTTTGCCTAAGCGAAGCTGTGGACATGCACATGTTATTAGGGAATTGTTTAATAACAATTTCCACGCCTCTTTCCGTCATTTTAAATGACACCCAGCTGGCCATGTTTAAGAAAGGGGAGTGTCAGCCTCTGCTTTGCTGCTGCTTCGGCTGCCATTGAAACGGGGAGTGGGGGGCATGGTATTTGGGAGGGGACTGATTGTTGTGCTGGAGNCAACCACAAGGATTGTAATCAAAGAGAAAACAGTAGCCAATGTCACAAAGAATATTCCCAAAGGTTCATTATAAGAGAGATAGGTGAATGCTTTGGGAATACATTGGTTTTGGATGTTGTTTGGATATTCATTTTCTGGACATGTCATGCAGGCATCCATATCTGGGAAAAGAAAAAAGGAGATATTTTTTCCAATATAACAACTTTTCTGTTAGTATAAAATATGCATTTATCAACAATTTATATTGATATTAATTATCTTTTTTCTGAAGAGATGATAGCCATTATTTTAAGGCCAAAACATACATCAGTCTCATAACATAATTTTAAACCTGAGGTCCTTTGTTATGCATAGAGATGTTGTTTGAAAAACAAAAGCAAATGAAAGTGCTTTCCGTCCACTATCTACATTTATACAATGAGGGGGTGACAACTAGATCTTTAAGTGCCATTCCTGTTTGGATGAGCAATATTTGCAATTTCAGAGGCAAATAGGTTTGTATAAATAAATATTATAAATACTTGATGATAATAGATCAATTTGATGTGGTATTTTAAGGAACAGAACAAGAAATTGGAGAATCCTATTTTGTCTAAACTATGGAAATCAATCAGAAGAACCAAATTAAATGATTTAATGCATCATAAACTATTTTATTATATTAAACTGTATTATTACTGGAAAAGGCAGCAGATGTGAAGAGAGTAATACTTCATGAAGTTATATTTTTCTGACATTGTAAATAATAATTGGTCTTTTTATTTGACCATAGGGCAGAATTTAGTATGTTCAAATAGTTACATATTTATATATTTTAACTACATCTCCAATAAATAGAAAGTAATCGCTGAATTGAATATCCCAACAAATGTCAAATTTTTCCCAAAATGTTCCCCTAAATTATGTACATAAATGATACGTATTTACATACATGCATGAATGCATGCATTAGAATAGATTTTTGCTGTTCAGCTAGCCAATGTCCTCACATCTTTTTGCCCTACCTATTTCATCAGAGAACTGCCCTTCTGAACATGGCACGCAATCATAGCAACAAAATTTCTTTCCTTCCTTCTTCTTTCTGCAGGAGCCTGGATAGCAGTGGTCATTGCACACAGAAAGAGGAAGCACCTGAACAATAATAGGTATGATAGAATCAGAGGTTAAAATATCTGCATTAATACAATTTCCCCAGGAACACCTATCCAGGCTGAAGAAGCAGAAGAAAATGAAAATGCAGAAACTTGAGTTAAAAAGAAGGAATTGGCGTTGATGTCTTTGGATGTTCTAGAAGAAGACCTGGAATGGCAGAAAATTATGTTTTCATAGGACATGTGTTTGGATTACTCCTAATGCATTGATTAGTTAATTTTTTTTCTGAAGATGAGCAAATGCAATAAAGGGTCTTTGTAGCCGGAATGTTTAAAACAAGAAAATGGGAGCACAAATAGACACAGGCATACAATGACAATGGGGTGCTGGATTTCAGTCATAAGATGTTACACTTGGAAGTCAGGATACTAGGTGAAAAATTCAAATTTGCAGCCATATTTAAACTGGTGGCAAAGTGAATCTGCTTCTTGTTGTTGTGCCATATGCGTCATCAGATATTGGCAATCATCTTGGCAATCCTATTATGGTCAACAGCCACAAAAAAAAGTTCTACTGAGTTTTGTCGAAACCAGTTCCTTAGATTTTGAAGCCATAATGTTCTTCTTCTGCCTGGACTTCATCACTTTCAATTTTTTCCTGGAGGATTAAGTGAAATTTGCTGTATTTTTCCAGGTTGTGTATCAGATGTCCAATATATTTTAACTTTCACGTTTTTATAGTTCTGATTATTTCCCTTGAC